TTCAACCTGTAAAGATATTTAAAGGAAAATCCAGAAGGAGCAATCAGATCTCTGATATCAGATGGAGCTTGGCCATTTAAGGCTTTATATGTGAGAAGGAGGATTTTAAATTCTATTTTGGATTTAACAGGAATTTAGGTAGAAATAACAAGAAATTACAGATGAAATTAGATTAGATTAGATTGAACATTATTGTCATTACACAGGTAGAAGGCAACGGAATGCAGTTTAGGTCTAACCAGAAGTGCAATAGCAGCAATTGCAGGATAAATAATGGTTCCATAAAAATAAGACATGGGTTTCTACTGAATGAGCATAGAGATGAATACCATTATAAATAATGAATAATATATAGATCACTAGTGTTATGAGCTAAATTCTGGGTTTTGTGAAACGTTTTCATTAAAAATGTGTATAAATGTGAAGTGGATGCCTTCATCTCTCAGCATCCTGGGTAATTCTGCTGCTTCGTGTTTGAACTTTTATCTCAGCTGATTAAAAATCACCATGCGTGTTTTTAATCTGCCTCCCCTCCATCCGCGCGGCGTGCTGACGTCTTTGGGCAGGAATGCGTGTGATTTGCGGAGTTTAGCGCGGAGGGATGATGACGGTGTGCTGAGGCCGCCTCCCATCCCGTATAAAAACTCCCAGTCCGGCATTTCTCTTCCTCTTTCTGTTACCTGGCTAAGGGGCAGCACCTTCGGCCGTGAAAACCCAGAAACACCGGTATGTACAGCTCCGACTCCTCACTGTCATGAAAGAAAAAATGTCTCGCGCTTCTGCTTTTTAACTTTTTATAGATAAAAAAATGTTTTTTTTCTTCGACATGTCTCCTTCGGTTTTCCGATTATGTAACCAGGCCGTAAACTGTGGTTAATATAATGTGATCAGCTGTGGGTAAAATGTAAGATTTAAGTATTTATTTTCAGACTAAGTTACAGTGAAATATTTGTTTTGATCCGTTTTTTTTAAGCTGCGGATTATAAAAATGAGGGGCAGGGTGTGTTGGAAAGGAACAAAGGAGGCTGCTAAAGCCTTACATCTCAGGATGCTCATCGGCATCTGGTTCCTCTCCTCCTCGGAACAACTGTCCCTGTCTGCCGGGAACAGGTGTTGGAGTCTGGCTCCGGGAGGACTCTGGGTATTTGGAGGTCTTTGTAACTTTATCCGACGTGGCCCAGCCAGTAACACGTGTCTCAGGCTGGCCTGGGGCCCGCTGCGGCCTAGCAGCCTCCGCCTCCTAACACCGCTAAAAAAAACACAGATATGACTATAATGGAACAATCAAACTTTATAAATCATTTTCTCACAAACGTACCGATTTAAGCGGTTAATAAACAACTCGGGGCTGAGAAGTTTTAACCGGCACAAGCCGGTTTTATATTAGCTATCGGCTCTGTGTTAGCCGACTTAGCATGTAGCTTCATTGTCGAACTTTTCAAGCTAAATAAAATGTCTGCTTTGACTTTTTTCTCCCAGAAACTAACACAATGGGAAAGGAAAAGACCCACATCAACATCGTGGTCATTGGCCATGTCGACTCCGGCAAGTCCACCTCTACCGGCCACTTGATCTACAAGTGCGGAGGAATCGACAAGAGAACCATCGAGAAGTTCGAGAAGGAGGCCGCTGAGGTAAGAAAGCGGATACATGGTCATTCTGTGTAACTTTTAAAGCCGTTTTAGCCGTGTCCAAGATGGCGGCGTCGGCATGCCCAACTGGCCGGCACGAGGGCGTAGTTGTAGCTGTGTGCGCGCACGCGGGGTGGGGCCTGCCGGCGGGAACGGCTAATGGTGACAGTGCATTTTACCAGGACCAGGCCTCAAACCAAGCAGTGTCGGCGAAAATGAGTTTAATAAACGGATTTTTCAGAAGATTTGTAAAATTGTACAGTGTATATATAACAAATGCATTTTGACAACTTGATTTGTTATGAATAAGTCATCTTTGATCATTTAATGAGTATAATAAACATTGGTGCCATTATGTTACTACTGTGAAGGCTTCATGCGCTGCATTTAATCCATTTTAGATTAGCTATTACTATTTTAGCTGCCATTTACTATAGTAGTGTAGTGACTTTATTGTATTGCTCAGTATTTTTTAGATAAATGTCTCCCAGTAAAATAAACTAGTCCATATTAAACAGTTTGCATTTAAGAAAATGTTTTAATTCCCAGTAAAACACAGTTAATTGCAGCTATAATAATTCAAAACAAAATATTTTTTCTATAGTTTGCATGTTCACGTTTCCCTCGCATAACTTTACCTTAAGGGAGTCATAAATATGTTTCTGTTTTCTAGATGGGGAAAGGCTCCTTCAAGTACGCCTGGGTGTTGGACAAACTGAAGGCCGAGCGTGAGCGTGGTATCACCATCGACATCGCTCTGTGGAAGTTTGAGACCAGCAAGTACTACGTGACCATCATTGATGCTCCTGGACACAGGGACTTCATCAAGAACATGATCACTGGTACCTCCCAGGTAAGCGGCGTCCACGCCAGCTTTATAAAGTCTGGTTTTTCTGAGCGTTTTAAACTTAATGGGCTTAAATCTTCCAGGCTGACTGTGCTGTCCTGATCGTCGCTGCCGGCGTGGGTGAGTTCGAGGCTGGTATCTCCAAGAACGGCCAGACTCGTGAGCACGCCCTGCTGGCCTTCACCCTGGGTGTGAAGCAGCTCATTGTTGGCGTCAACAAGATGGACTCCACCGAGCCCCCTTACAGCCAGGCCCGTTTCGAGGAAATCCAAAAGGAAGTGAGCACCTACATCAAGAAGATCGGCTACAACCCCGCCGCTGTCGCCTTCGTCCCCATCTCTGGATGGCACGGAGACAACATGCTGGAGGCCAGCAGCAAGGTGAGGCTCTGGGACCACACAAAGATCTGATCTTTTGTTGCTTTTAAAGGATTTGAACTAATGTCACATGTTCTTGTAGATGAACTGGTTCAAGGGATGGAAGGTTGAGCGCAAGGAGGGCAATGCCAGTGGAACCACCCTCCTGGAGGCCCTGGACGCCATCCTGCCCCCCAGCCGCCCCACAGACAAGCCCCTCCGTCTGCCCCTGCAGGACGTCTACAAAATTGGCGGTAAGCAAACCTAAGATTAAATTTTAGATTTCACTGTTTCTATGTTATCTAACGCTTGTTTATTGTCAGGTATCGGAACTGTCCCCGTCGGCCGTGTGGAGACCGGTGTCCTGAAGCCCGGCATGGTCGTCACCTTCGCTCCCCCCAACCTGACCACTGAGGTGAAGTCCGTGGAAATGCACCATGAGTCTCTGCCCGAAGCCGTGCCCGGAGACAACGTTGGCTTCAACGTCAAGAACGTCTCGGTGAAGGAAATCCGTCGTGGATACGTCGCTGGTGACAGCAAGAACGACCCACCAAAGGCTGCTGAGAGCTTCAACGCTCAGGTGGGTTTGGTCAACAGGAGGCGCCATCTTGTTTCTGTTTAATGTTGCATGGATTTTTAACTCTTGTTCACATCCGTAGGTCATCATCCTGAACCACCCAGGTCAGATCAACGAGGGTTACGCCCCCGTCCTGGACTGCCACACCGCTCACATCGCCTGCAAGTTCAAGGAGCTGATCGAGAAGATCGACCGTCGTTCTGGCAAGAAGCTCGAGGACAACCCCAAGTTCGTCAAGTCCGGAGATGCCGCCATTGTCAAGCTGATCCCACAGAAGCCTATGGTGGTGGAGCCCTTCTCCAACTACCCTCCCCTCGGTAGGTTCCTGCTTCAATATGTAAACCAACATGGATGACTTTAAACCAGAGGTCCTAACGTCTCCCCACCTCTCTCCCAGGTCGTTTCGCCGTGCGTGACATGAGGCAGACCGTCGCTGTCGGCGTCATCAAGGCCGTTGATACCAAGGAGGTTTCAGGAAAGACAACCAAGGCTGCAGAGAAGGCCCAGAAGAAGAAATGAATGGTCGTGCAGGACATCCAACAACAAGACGTGTGCCGGCAGCTGCGGGTTACCCCCTCCCCCATCTATTCTCACCACCCTGGGCCATCTTCTCTGAGGCACAGCTCTTTACTCAAGGACTGGCTTATGCTGATTAAAACCCATCGCAAGAGTTTCCGCAGGAAAAAGAACTCTGGCACTAAATCTGAAGATGGTGCCTCTTTTCAGTTCAGTTTGAGTTGGAAATGGTTTAGAACTGTATCTCAATGTTAAAATGCCACAAAAGTAATTGGAAAGAAAAGCTGCTGGTAACTAATAAATGTTTCTGAAAAAATCGCAATGGAAGTGTCTGCATCCTTCAGTTGGATTGTTAAAGCAGAGTAAACTGGGGTGCAGCTGTTCATGACCAGCGAGGCGCTCGTCATCCTGCATTCAGCCAATGGGGGGGTGTCATCTCAATCCCAGAACCAACCAAGAAGCAGAGCAGCCCCCCCTCTCTGGGCAGTATAAAAGCTCTTCCCAGATCAGGTTCTGTCCTTTTTTGTCTCTCCTGTAACTCTGCTTCTTGGTTTCTGTGGACTGAGGTGGGTGAGCTTTAAATTTAATTCATACAGAAATCAAAATGTCTGCTCTGTCTTTAATTGGCTGAAAACAGATTCCAGGGGGACTTAATAGGAAATAAAAGGGCAGTATTTTATGCATGAAACAGATTTTTAGGATTCTGTAACTGCAGAATAATGGGAATTTCATTTTACCCTCATGAACGAGCATGGCATTGATTTAGCTGCGCGCGTTCACAGGCCGACAACATGGCGGCAGTGCGCAACATGGAGGACAGGCCGGTGCTTGGAGCACGTGCTCTGTGACTCAGCGGCACTAGTGTCGAGAACGAGCACGTTTTTCCTGAGCTTCATGTCAAACTAGTTAATTAAACCGCTTCACTTAATGCCGTGAAGCTTCCATGACGTCACGGATGACAGCTCTGGTGGAGGGCGTTATTAAAAAAAAAATACTGGAAATTATGAATGTTAAAAGGAAAGGGTTTCTAATTGGAAAAAAATGGCGGGCCATGGCTTCATTATCGGGGGTAAAATAAGGCCGCGTGCCTGTCAGCTGATGACTCCTCGTTTGATTGTAGCCGGAGAATAAAATGGGAAAGGAAAAGACCCACATCAACATCGTGGTCATCGGCCATGTTGACTCCGGGAAGTCCACCACCACCGGCCACCTGATCTACAAGTGCGGAGGAATCGACAAGAGAACCATCGAGAAGTTCGAGAAGGAGGCCGCTGAGGTGGGTTCCTGCAGCACTTTATCCTGTTGGAGCCTCATTAGGGTGGATGACAGCAAAGCTGCAGTCATTTCAGTGATGAACACTGCCACCTAGTGTTCAAATAGTGCCTTTAACAGCTCAGACTCTTAAAAAATAACTAGGGGAAAAGTTTACTTTTTGCAAAATACTTGAAATGAGTTCAGAATAATTAGAACTCCATATAAATGTAAATATATATTTTCCATATAATAAAGATGCAGGGGATGTATGATGCTGAGGGAAAGATGGACAGTAAAATACCAGGGATCTGGTTTATAAATCACTGGTATTTGACAGGTAAAATTCAAAATAGTTTTAACTCTGCAATAGGTTAAAATCCTAACCAAAAGTTAAATAAAGAGAAGGTACAATATAGACCAGAGAGTGGAATATAAAAATGTCATGTTAAGCCACATTTTATTTAATTACATTTTAGAAACTGATCGATTAGTTTGGTGCTAAAAACAAGCAAAACAAGTTAAAAAGAAAAAAAACTTCCTTTTTATTTCTCCTATTTTAGGAATATTTTTCACATACATGAAACTGCTCTGCATGTTAAACTTTCTCTTATAAAAGATTCATTTTATCCCATCTCTCCTGTGCATCTCGTTCATGCCCAGGTTTGTTTGTTTTTTTCTGATATGGTCCTAATCCCTGAGGTTTGAAATGGTGGAATAGAAAATCCCTTAATTCAGATAATCCAAAATGAACGTAATATGAGTTTTAATTCTCACAAATTCCTAAAAAAATTTAAAATAAGTCCAATTAAACCTGGCAGGTTTGATTGGAATTTGCAGGAGAGGTAAACTATCACCAGAAACCTCTGTTCAATTAATAAAAACAAAATACTTTGCATTAGTTTTTCTGTTTTCCAATAATTTTTTTATTTTATTTTATCTAATAAGAAAAAAATATATATTTTATGTTATATCTATGTGCTTCTTATTGTATAATTAAAATCCAACTAAAACCCATATTTAAACTGTGATTTTGCAAAAAGAAACATAATTGAATGAATAAGATTTTTTTTCTCAATGTTTTATTAGTCAGGAATTAAGTTTAGCATTCCTCAAAAATAAAACCATAAGCAGACCTCAGTTATTTCCCTACAGCAATACAAAATAGTCCTAATGTGGTGTAACAGATAGAGATGGATTCAGTAAAAAAATAAAAATGTGATGCCTCTAAAATATTAAAGTCTCTATAAAATGTACATCACAAAGTATAAAGTCAATCTTTAATGTAATTTTATAACAAACAGGAATACAAACCTGCAGTAACTTTAACTTTGGTGCCAATATTTGTATATATTTTGTAAAATGGACTAAATAACAAAAACAACCCATTTTTCTTTTTTTTGTTCCTGTGTATAATTTTTTTTTTTTAAATCCAGACAAAGATAATAAAAAGTGACTGATATATGGTAATCCTGGACTACAAAAATAACCCAACAAAGTGGCAACCTCCCAAAAGTAAATATATTATAAATAACTATAATTATATAAGTAATTTCTTTATTATTTATATGAAATGTATGTTTACTTACTTAATATGTTTTAAATTGTGAATTTTATGATGTTGTGCTATATGTTATATTGAAATCAGGTCTTAAAATGAATAAATACGTTTATGGTCTTCCATATTCCAGAGCAATCAAATGACAATGATTGTGAAAACCCTTTTTAAACGCACTAACTTGCTTTATGTTTCAGATCTACAATGATTTGCAGCTAATTTTCTAAAAAAATAAGAATATAATCTTAAATAAAATTTGTTTTGTTTGTAGTTGTGCAGGTTAAAAAAAAAAGAAACAAATAGCAAAGATTTATTAAATATTATTGGGCATTAGGTTTACAGCTGTACTGAGATCTCAGTCCAATCAATGACTTTTATCTTCTGACTAATTCTTTGACTGTTTTAGGTCCAGTTCACATCCATCCATTAGTTTTAAGTAAAAATATAGTTCGATTAACGGTCATTAAATCTGACTGAGCTGCAATATAGGGAGGAATATAATAATTAGGGCTGAAGCAAATAATTGGATTAATTGATTATTGAAGTAATTGTCAACTAATTTAGTAATTGTTATCTAAAGTATATAGATTCTTCTCCACTTGTTTCATGCATATAAATTGCTTTATTATAATTATGCAGGGAGTTTTACAGATTTATGGAGGATAAAAAGTGCCAAAATTAAATATATAAATAAATACAGCATTAAATAAATAATTAAATGTGGAATTAAATAAATAAATGTGTCATTCATTCATTAAAACCACGTCACGTGCATTTAATTATTTCATGGTCCTGTGTCGCAGTGCATCGAAACCATTAAAAGAATCTGTCA